ATAATAAGCGAGGCCACGGAAATTGCAGTTATTGGATATTTTGAAGCTTATCGTGAGAATTCAATAGCAGATATTCTCAAGGACTCTAATTTCAGTTATGGTACTGTTCAAAGGATTTTAAAAAAATACAAATTTATTCCGTATAAGTACCGACCAGTTCAAACGCTTTTGGCAGGGGATCCAGAGAGAAGACTTGTTTTTTGCCATTGGTATCTTAGCTTCTATCGCCAAAATGTAAATAACTTTCGTTACCTTTTATGGACAGATGAATCAAATTTTTCAAATTCTGGAATGTTTAATAGAAAAAACCACCATTATTGGTCAAGAGAAAATCTTTTGTTAGTACATCCAAGAGGCCCACAAGTCCGTTTCAGTTTCAACGTTTGGTGCGGTATAATTGGTTCAAAAATTGTTGGCCCGTTCTTTTATGAGGGAACCCTAACTGGTGAAAGATATGTGGAATTTATGTCAGAAATTCTGACTAATTTCTTAGACGAATTGGATATTATAAGTAGACATCATCTGCATTTTCAGCAAGATGGCGCACCTGCCCACAACTCCAGAGGTACTTATCATTTTCTAAGTACTACTTTTAATGATCAGTGGATAGGAACAAATGGCCCAATACAGTGGCCTCCCAGATCACCAGATCTAAACCCACTTGATTACTTCTTGTGGGGTTACTTAAAGAACCAAATTTACAAGCGAAGGTACGATAACCTTGACGCGTTAAAGACTGCAGTTAGGGAAAAGATAACCCAGATAGATGGTAGGACCATACTTAAGACAGTTCGAGCAGTTGAAAAACGTGCCCAAAAATGTATTGAAGAACAAGGTGGTGTTTTCGAGCATCTTCTTTAAAAAAAAATGTTATTGTATTTTGTAAGATTATAAGTTGATGTTGAAAATAAAGTTTGTCGATACAATTTAATTGTTTCAGATTGGAGGCCATAACTTCAACAATTTGTAACCTAGGAGAAAAGTTATTGTAAGCTTTTTTGTTTAAAATTTGATGCTTTAACAGAAAAAAATATAATATACAGGGGTTTCCATTTAAAAAAATGTTATTTTACTGAAAAAAATCAAAATAACGACTCTCAATTGTTTTTTTTTTATTTCTCATTTTTACCAGCGTTAAAAATGCTACTAGTTTGCTAATTCAAACAACTTTGTATTTTCACTAATAACAAAGTTACTAATGGTGGACACTTAATTTGGATAACCCTGTATTTACAGGATTAATGACTTTTGTAGACACGATTTATGGGATTTCAATTATGGTCGAAAGCGGTGAGTTCTTCTTCCGCAGAGCTACTAATATTTGTGTAGGTACTCACTGCGTTAGGAATTTACTTGAGGTGTCTTCTGGTCAAGTTAGGTGGGATATTCCTTGGATAATAAGTGTAATTTCGGGAGTGAATTTCTAGTTAGTAATGTAGTGACAATGCAAATATGATTTATTATATATATGTATTTATAACACATAACTTTGATAAATTATCTCCCAAGAAATGTATCAAGGCCTCCTATTTTATGTTAAAACTATCTGTATCTCGGCTCTTCATGAATGATCTAATTTGATTTATTTTTACGAAAACAGTGCACTGTAGGACTTTTGAATGTGGACAATAATACTCAGGTAAATCCACATATCAAATTTCAGATCACTCCCGTGTACGTTTTTGAAGATATAAATTTTTTTTTATTTTTAAACTTCAACAGCTCGTATCTTTTCAATGAAACCCTCGAGGAAAGAATGTTACATATAAGACCCCCCCTTAAAATGAGGTCCTGTGTATGGTGTTTAATTTTTTGGTCACGACTTGTGAATCACTGTGAATAATAAATATATATTAAAGTAATTGCAATAGTTTTTGTTTTTCTTCTGAACCTTTCCAGATTACTAACTAGGTATTAGTGATCTTATAACAGCTTGTGTTATTGACATTGCTATTTTAACATTCAAAAACCATATATCCCAAATATCCCAAATTTGGAAATCAATCAAACGACCGACAACAGGAAGATGACTGACGCAGAACAGCTAGCTTTATACAAGAAAGTTAAATGAGTAGCCTTGAAGATATGTTTGATAGGAAACCAAATCAATATCCTTATATAGGTTAGTACGGAGAAAAACCACAGAGTGGCGCTGATTGCCAATGAACCTAGAAAAGCAATTCCACGAGGGACCAACGATATTTTATGAGGAAATTTCTGAGATACTCATTAATAAAATATTATGACATTAATGTCCAAAAGACTTCAACACAATACTGAGTCACTGAGAAAGAAAGATATAATACGTGTGGAATCATACAATCAATAAATTATGGAATTTGCCAAAAAAAATCATTCAAAAGAGCTTGGCCTAGGGATTGGTACTCCATCATTAATAACGAGTTTAATAAAAGTTCGAACTACTCGTAAGTGATCAAAATAGAAAAAGAAAGGTTACGCGATCTTGGCACGGAACAATCAAGCAACGGCTTCCGTATTGCCCGGTAAGCATTTGAACTTTAGCACATCCTCTGCAGAAATTCCAGTAACAAGTTATTCAAAAAGCACGCCTTTTAAGGCTTGCAAAATAAAATTGACGTTGTGCCTCTAAATAAATTCTTTTCCGACTGAAATCCGTCAGATCTCCTTTAATAATATTTCCATTAGATATTTGGACGTTCGGCGCTTTCGTCAAAGAAATTTGATGTAAATTTTTGTTGCCGGAACATTGTAATTCATTTTGACGCTGTGGCGGATTAGGATAGGCTGACGTTTATGGATTCCCAGCTATCCGCATTTTGATCGGAATCGATAGCGAGCAGAAAGAATAAAGTCACATCCAGTAACGTATTTTCTAAAAGTTTTGGCACAACAGATTTGCAGTATAATAAACAAATTTATTTAAGCACTAACTGGTATCGTAAATTACAACCCAATACTACAACTAAACTTTACTATCGAATTATGAGGAATGACCCATTTTGCTCTATCAGACGCAATTTTCTTCGAATGTCTATCATGAGATCCTGGACGGAATTCAGATGAATTTCTCTCAATTTTTCGTAAATTCGCCGTCCTAATTGTTCATCTTGGGCGTCCCAGCCTCCATGATATAAACCTTCCTAGACAGTAAAGCCCAAAAATCCTCTATTGGGTATCTCTGAGTTAGGTCTGGCCAAAACATGATATGGTCATTAGCATGATGTTCGTGGACAAACTGAAGCAATATCAAAGCTTCACCATTCACTCTTGCCACAAAAGGTTGGAATACACCCCAGTTAGAAACTGCACACCAGACAAGGATTTTATCTGCAAATTTCGCTTTATGTTTGTATCTAGCATTGTCCGGGCATTCCTCTACATTGTTCATATAACATTCTTCGTTTCTCTTCATTTCAGAATTAGTCAAAGTGAAATACTTTTCGTCATCAAAAATAATGATTTTTCTATTGGCAAAGTGTACCCGCCTCAGTTGACGACAGCATCTTGGTATACGAAAGAGTATTTGGGGCACTTAAGTCTCTTTCGATATTTAAAACCATTCCTCTTGAATTCTAACGATATCGTACTCTTATAAAATCTGTATTGAAGATCCACTTTCCTTGTTGACATTCCAACCTGATTTTTTGCTCTTCTCACCAATCTCTCTGACCTATGTGTAGTGAATACACGTGGTCTTCTTCTTTTTTGGAGATTCAGACATGATATTCCCTACTCGCACTCCTCTATTGTTCTATAAATTCAATTGTTTTAAAGGCAACTTGATATTATTTTTTGTTTCTCAAAATTAAAGCCAAAGACGAAAATAAAAGTTTGGATTGGATTTTTGATTTCTATACAAATATCAATCAGGCACTGATGAGCTGTTGTCTGAATATCAAAGCCACCATTCACATACATTGATTACGTTATTCAGGTAACAGCTCGTCACTTCCTAATCCGCACGGGTGTTACGTATCCTGAAAAGTGACATTTTGTACGTTTTTTTAACATAATGTATGATTTTCTACAAGATACTATTAACTAAGCACTAGCTCTTGTACACTTGTTGTGAACTCGTTTTGTAGCTTTTCGTGTTGCCAAAACGTCATGATGCTTCAGCTATCAATGCTTGGATCTGATATGACGTAACATATGCTTCAATGAGTGCATTGTTATAAGTCTAAGCTGTAAGTTGTATACTATAGCTGGAAAGAAATGGCAGTGCATAGGTGCATACTGAGGATTTGTGTGCTAATAATCTGTGCTGATGATAGTGCCATTGGTTTCTTGTCTCAAATATACTTATTTGAGATCTATTCAAACCTAGAAATTAAATACGCATCCACTTTTTCTCATTCATTCTGGAATCTACAAAAATGTGGAAGATAAGAAGAGAAAATCCCTGGTTGGTGAAGTATATTACAAGTAACAGGTGAGAAAATGTGCTACAGACATGAATATTTATGAATCGTAAAAAACTCACTATTGGTCAACCTGTCTCCAGAAAGGACATTATATATAAATATCCCGTCGGGCACAGCTGATAGACATATTTCATTGGCAACATATTCAGTAATTATTTTATCACATAGCAAATGTCACTTATTTTATACACATGCCGACCAATACACATAATCATCCAGATGCGATCTTGCTACTCAACTACTCTCTTTTCTTTCACATCTTCTCATAGATAAGCACTGTAGACTACTTAGATTTCTGAAACCAGCAAGCAACTATCAATGCATGTCGTGTCGTTGAGTCATTCCTTCATAGATGAACGGTTTTGATATCGCTCACACCTGTTGTAGCTGCCAAACGTGGAAAGAACACTCTAAAACCTCGCGTGTGTTATTTTATACATTGTCTTCATTGTTCACGTGTTGATTACATTGTATGCGTACTGGAACGTAGACATCATCGCTGCCCTTACTAGAATCCAATCCAACGCGTCGCCCACTTCCACCAGCCATTCACACGGACAGATACACATATATAGCACAAGTGTCGTATCGATGCTACCGAAACGTCGATTCCTTGACGTGTTTGTTGTGATTAGTCGATCCCACTACCTCCCAAGGGACTCCAGGATAAATCTCTTCGCTGTCCACTTTCGCGCTCCTTCGGTTCGACTCCGGTCCCGGAGACGGTTTTCTTTTATTTGCCCGTCTTATTATTACCATTTGTCTCTTCAGCGAGAGAAAAAGGAAGGGAGAGAGAGAGAGAGCGAATACAGTCGAGAGCCGTATATATCGGAATTAACTGATTCATAATAAAATAACACCAGGGATACGATTTCATTCCAGTGAGATATTGGACCGGCGAGGCCGTCGAGCTCACGGAAATTGAGATGGATGGATATTGTATATGCTCTGAGAGCTGCCCTATTTAAGCTGGAGAGTGTTGAATTATTATAATCCTTAAGAAGAGCCAACTGTATGCTCTCTGCTACAATACCTTCATAATTGCCTCTTTTGTACAAACACCTATATTTTCATAGTTTAAATGAAAAAGCATTTGAACAGAATCTCAAGAGTTTTCCATGGTAGCATATTATGTCTATAGATGACATTGAAGGTAAAATTAACTTTTTAATAGACAACATTTTATGTTTATTTAATGTTCAGGTAGTGCGTGTAAACAAAGCTCCTGTCCTTGGTTGGATGATGATATTAAACTTGTATTCAAACAGAGAATTGAAGCTTTGTCAATGTTCAAACGTGACCGTACAGCCGCCTTTTGGCAACAGTATACATATTTCAGAAGTCGTGCATTGACACTCGTGCGGAAAGGAAAAAAATAATACTTCTAAGCTGTTCAAAATCAGGATATAAAAACGTTTTATAAAACCCTGAAGACTTTGAAAGTGCAATCTTAGAAAGATTCTACAATTCGCGTGAGCTTATCAGCTCCGTATAAAATAAATGAGGCATTTATTTCAATTTTTGCGAACAGTGATTTGAGGTATTTGAGTACAATAACTCAAAAACAGAATAATTTCAATGTAGTAAAGTGAATATTGACACCTCTCTTAAAGTTATTCATAAAATAAAATCAAATACTAGTGGTTCAACTGACATAACTTTACATACGATACTACTATGTATATCTGAAATTGATGTGTACTGAACACATATAATCAACTGCTATACGATAAATAAAAAATACGATAAACGTTCTGATCCTACTAGCTATGGTCAACTGAGATCGATCGGTTTACTCCCTATTTTCTCAAAACTGTTGGAACGCCTACTTATATTCTAACAAAATTATTCCATCTAAGCAATCTGGATTTCGACAAGGTCATTCAGCTTAGGCATTGATTTAAAAGACAATATAACAATAGCACTTGACAACCAAAGAGCGGTAGCTCTCATTATAGGTACTTCTTGACTATGCGAAAGCATTTGACACAGTTAATCATTCACTTCTTGTGTCTAAATGCAGTTATTATGGATTTTCTGAAAAACCTGTTTCGTTTATTCAAACCGACTTTAAAAATCGGTATCAAAAATCAAGAATATTCTACCGCACAAAAAATTGTTCTGGTGTACCACGGGGATCTGTGTTAGGGCCCTTTTATTTTCATTATATACAGGGTGGCGGATATGTAATTGACTGGCTTGTATCTTGAATATTTGAATAGTTCTTTACTATCCCCATTTAGATATTACAACAAGAAATCGTCTTCAATATATTATGAATACATGTTGCAGATTTGTAAATGATCTCAGAAAATATGAACATGTGTCAAAGGCCATTAATGACCTCAAATGGATGAAAATTGATAAACTGTATAAATACCAGCTCCTAAGTCTGACTCATAGGGTCCTTTATTCAAAAACATCGTCATATTTATACACTATTCCTAGTCCATTTACGCCCCAGCACAACAAAAATCCAGCCCGGCAAAGCGGCAGCCGCCTAAGCGTTGCAATAGCTATTGGTCATTTCGCCATTAAACTACGAACATGTGCAGGATTCGACAGGATGTGTGTTTATACGTTAGCATGTCGTCATGACTGAGAATATTTCTCCCAATGTTTCCTTCAGTGACAAGACGGGAACTTTGAATATTCAGGCAAAACAAAATGTACCTAGCGTTTATAAGAGCGACATTTCATAGCAACCTGAAATGAAAATTCATGATATTGAAAGAGGTGTGGCGAAGAAAACAGGTTTATGTCCTAAGACAATATTCAAAATTGTTAAAGAATATAAAAAAAACAAAAATTGTCTCCATCACACAAGAGGCTGCATTACACGAAGCTGTTGGATACAGTTGATTACTTTGATCGGAATGCTATCAGACGCAAAGCCCATCAATTTTGCAGCAATAAAACCAGACTGTACAATAAATTATTTCAGAAACCAGGGTTATTTTCGTCTGATATGATTAGACTAACATTATCTTGCATAAATTGGGGAAAATCTTTAGGAACAGATGCATTTTCGTATTCTGAACATATATCCAGAACAAAGTATTTCAAGTTGACTTCTCCGATGCGTCTACAAAATGAAGCGTCTTATTGTTACGAAATAGATAATTATACGAGTTGATTCATCCGAAAATATTCTAGAGTGGTGGAAAAAGCATGAAAACGTATTCCTAAATCTAGCTTTAATGGCAAGCCATTTGTTATAGACACCTGCACCATCAGCTCCTATTGAAAATTTTCTAAAGCAGCACTGACCATCACGAAACCCCGCAACAGATTCAGCGACAAATCCGTTAGGACCCTTATGTGTCGTGGCTAGCGAATGAACACTTAAATTAAAATTTCCATGTGTATTGTATCAGCTGATGAAGAAACGTTTTTCTTTTCTAATTTAGTTTACAGTTTTATTGTTCTGTTATTTGTTAGAAAATCATTAGATTATTTTGTTCAATATGTATTTTAGTTTTCTCTGTAACTTGTGACAAATAAAAGACTTTTGGTTGTGTACTAGAGTTTTACTTGTGCTTATATTACAAAAATTATCAAGTAATATGGAGACTATTTGCATTTTCAAGAAACTCGAATTGACTTGACATAAAAACTACTTGAGTTGGTATTACATTGAATATCTAAGCTTGAAATAAAGTCAAGCTCAAGTCAAGTAGCTTGAAAACCAAGTCAAGTAGTAAATCCCTAACAGTTGTGTATATTTGGATTCCCTATCGGTGGGTTTTGGAGGTTTAGGGATGAACCTCCTCTCTTCAGAATTACTCCCGTTCTCAAGCATTTATTCATCACAGACAGCATCGGATATTTCTTTAACCAGCGCTTTCAGGATCTCATTTGGTATTTCACCAAGTCGTGGTGCCGTGTTTTCAAATGCATTACAGCTTCTTCCAGCTCATTCAATATGAACTCTGGTTCGTCCAGAGTTTAATCAAGTTTCCATTTGGTGTATGAGTACTTCGGAAACAATCCCTCTGCAATTTTTATTTGCTGTTCAGTATCCACGGTCTGTTTGTGACTTTTAGCTTTTTCAGGGCTATCTTCTACGCTTGATTCCATATTGGCATATTGATGTTGTTTTTTGTACTCGAGTAGCAAAATGTTATTCCTTGTTTCATTTGCCCCATGGTACTTTCTATTTTCTCTAGTTATTCTACGTCTTATAGTTAGGTATTCTTTTATTTTTTGTGCTACTTCATTTCTCCATCAATACTTTGCTTCCCTCACTTTCAGAAAGTATTTTGTATCTGAAATACTTATTTTAAAATTATGTTGTATTTTGAACCCCAAATATTTTATATATATTATATATCACTGGCGCTCTTGATAAGCATTCAAGCGGTTGCAGAAAAAAATGATATCAAATTATGAAACGTAAATAGCAGGTATCTGCTTATTCTTCTAAACACTTCACACTCTTGTCCCATAGAATTTCTTCCGCTTGAAATGCCGTCGCGTCGCCGGCGTCGCATCGTGCGAAACTGTGCGCTATGCGCCCAGACTCCGGAGTCTATGACTGCCGGAATCCCAGAACGCGCCTCAGTGCCGCGCTTCCTTTTGATCCGGGACGATCGCAGCCTGCTTCGATATCTCGCATTCCACGAGTGTCGACGGGACAGAACGTCCGCATCGTCTTATTGGTTTAACTTGGACTGGTTCGTTAGTTTTCATTCAATTTTAATTTGGTTATTCTACGCATCTTTACTCATTAAACAAAAATACAGGGTGTTAATAAAATATCTAATCGATTCCTTGAGCAATTCTGAGGTGAGAGGTACATATAAAGTCAGGTCTGGTAATACTCGATTACCCGTTACTTAGAATTTTTTTTCGTGAAAAATTCAAATCGTGCAAGTCATTTTGCTAAAATTTGACATGCCTGGCATTGCCGTTCTTGTTTTTTTATGAAACTTGGTTCTAATTGCATTGTCGCGGTAAACAACCAAATTTCAACGGGTTTTAACAAAATTGGATTAAGGATTAACAAGTGTTTTACGGAAAACTGTTTCTTTATAACTGATGCCTCAAAAACTGAGCATTACCAGATTTTCGCTCAACTCTTTAACACTCAAATAATCACTTATTGCAGTTTAATTATATATATTGTATATAAGTCAAGTAGATTTACTCGCACTTTCCAAGCAACATGAATAAGTTTTGCTATGTCTGCCTAATGATGATGATCTTGTCTTAGAGTGGCAATAAAGGTGGTCCATTACGACTAAACTGATCTGCTCCAATATCACTAAGTTTTTAGTCTATCCAGATAACAATTTTATGCTTTATAAATGTCCTAATAATGCTTACAGAACCGTTTTTATAAAACAACAATTCTGCTATAAACGTTCTACAACGTTTATACAACGCTTATAAACCAGAAAAAGGCACACTCTTGTGCAGCAATTTTGTTCTTTAATTTGTTTTATTATGGTTCCCGCAGCTTTTACCGGATAATTGTTTAAACATTTTTAATATTATTATAAGACATAGAATGCAACAATTATAAAACAGTTTTATTGCAAACACTTATAGAACCACAATAACACAGTGTTATGAAAGTTATTTTATTATCTTGGATGCAGCTTCCTTGTTTTGACTAACACTAAAAGTTTGCTTCTGTTGTTGAATTGCACCCACTGAGAATAATTTCTTTTTCAGTCATCATTGATACAATAAAAAGGCAAGCATTAGATATTTTTAGCAAATAAAATATTTTTGAATAACTTCATCATCCATGTGCATTT